CAGAAGCTTCTCAGTTTCAGGAGGTCCCATTTATTAATTGTCAATCTCAGTGTCTGTGCTACTGGTGTTGTTCAGGAAGCTGTCTCCTGTACCAATTCATTCAAGGGTACTTCCCACTTTTTCTTCTAGTAGGTTCAGTGTGGCTGGATTTATGTTGAGGTCTTTGATCCATTTGGACTTAAGTTTTGTTCATGGCAATAGATCTGGATCTATCTGCAGTTTTCTACATGCCCGCATCCAGTCATACCAGCACCATTTGTTGAAGATGGTTTCTTTTTTTTCCATTGTATAACTTTAGCTTCTTTATCAAAAATCAGGTGTTCTGTAAGAAAGCAGGCTGAGCAAGCTCTGATGAGCAAGCCAGTAAGAAGCTCCCCTCCATGGCCTCTGCATCAGCTCCTGCCTCTAGTTTCCTGCCGTTTGAGCTCCTGTCCTGACTTCCTTTGATGATGAACAGTGATATGGGAATGCAGGCCAAATAAACCCTTTCCTCCCCAGCTTACTTTTGGTCGTGGTGTTTCTTCTTAAGACAGTGCCCCTTTCCAGACCCGCCTTCGGTTGACTGAGGAGGCTGGCACCTGGGTGGGAATGCCGCCTTTAGGCTGGCACCTAGCCTGCACAGTTGCTAGCTACAGAGCCTGCAACCCTGCCTTGTCTGGGGGCTCTATCTGTGTCTGTGAATGGAGCTACAGAGGTTCCTCAGAGAGTCTTGAGGAAGCGGGTCTTAGTAGCAGACACATAATAACTGCTCAAAGATAGTTGTTAAGAGGATGATGTTAAATTATGTTGCCCTGGCTTCCTTCTTCCTAAAGCCCTGAAAAGTGACCATGCTACATTACAGCACACACACATACACACACACACACACACACACACACAGAGAGAGAGAGAGAGAGAGAGAGAGAGAGAGAGAGAGAGCGAGAGCAAAATTTTCTAGGTGAGCCTGTGTACCATTTGTTTCTTAAGCTTCCCAGATGGTTACAGTATGCATAGATTAAAAACTGTAGACTCCTCTGGCCCACTCCACTTCCAGCCACCTTATTCCAAGCTTGGGAGAGAAATGCCGAATACCCTTGTTTCTCAGCCTTCCCTGTCCTCCCTCCCATCTCCCTCCTGGCCACTAAAGTGGCCACTGTTCTACTCTCTGATGGAGATAAGAACCCAAGCCTTATCCATTTTTAGTTGAATAACTTGTATTTCATTCATTTACTTAGCAAGTATCTACAATGTGCTAAACATGGTGTTAAGTTCTAGAAACCGAGCCAAGAACTATACAAAGGTCATATGCTTGTTGATACTATGTCTAGAATGTTGAAAGAAGCAAACAATTGATTTTTAGTGTCCGTTAAGAGACAAAGTCACAGCTCTTTGGGGTGAGGCACATGCCTTGAACCCTTGCCTTCATGAGGTAAAAGGATCACAAGTTCAAAGTCATCAGCTACGTTGTGTGCTGAAGGCCAGACTGGTACACACAGTACCAGTATTTTTTTTTCAAAAAAAATAAAAAGATGAAGTTACAAAAAACACCTGGCTTAGCAGAGTTATTTTGGCTAGAGGTAAAGGGCCTGAGATGTAGCTAGTGTTTTGTTAACTTGACATAATCTAGAGTCATTTGGGAAGAGGGAACCCCAAATGATGGGTAAGTCTTTGGGACATTTTCTTGATTTTGTGATTGATGTGGGAGGGTTCAGTCCATTGTGGATAGTACCACCCCTGTGCGGTGTTTTCTGAGTTGTATAAGAAAGTAGGCAGAGTAGCTGGGCAGGGGTGGCACACGCCTTTAATCCCAGCACTTGGGAAGCAGAGGCAGGTGGATCTGTGAGTTCGAGACCAGCCAGGACAGCGCAAAAAAAAAAAAAAAAAAAAAAAAAAAAAAAAAAAAAAAAGAGCAGGCTGAGCAAGCCATAAACCGCAGTCCTCCATGGCCTCTGCTTTAGTTCTCCCTGGAGTTCCTGCCCTGGCATCCCTGGATGATGGACCACAAACTGTGAGATGAAATAAACTCTCTCATCCCCATGTTGCTTATGGTTGTGGTGTTTTATCACAACAATAGAAATCCTGGATTAGTGACTCACTCAATAGCCTAGGCTGGCCTGGAATTTGCCATATGGCCCAGGCTGGCTTCAGACTAACATCAGTCTGCCTTTGCTTCCCCTGGGAACTCACAGTGCTGAGATTAGAGACATGAACCACCATGCCTAGGCCAGATTTACAGATATCAGTTGCCTTTAACCTAGAATCCAGTCAGGCAGCGGTCCGGTCCAAACCCAAAACAAAGATCCTTTGGAATGCCACATGTGCACACTCAATTACAGCCAAAGAAATAGAAGCAGCAATCAGAAAACAGAAGTGAGAAATATGTGGATTGACCACAATTTGGCATTTTGCATTTTTAAATATAGCCTAAATGGTTCGATGCTGTGATTGGCTGAGACCCAGCTATTTGTTGCAAAGGCAAATGCCCAGGTGTTCTCATTTTCGGTTAAGTTGCCGTTCATGGTGCAAGTACTGACTCAGTTCCCTGCAAAGCTACACTCAGGTCAGACTTAGCTTGCCCTAATGAGCCCTAAAGATGAAGAAAGCATGAAAAAGGCCAAAGGTGATACAGAGATGAAGGAGGCCATCACTTAAGAAGCTAACCAAACCAGGACATGGTATACGACACCTATAATCCCAAAAGTGGAATCAGGAGGATCAGGAATTCAAGGTCAGCCTGGGAAACATAATATCCTGTCTCAAAAAAAGGGGGGGAGGGGGGATGGCAAAAAAAATGCTTTAAAAATTATTTAAAAGGATATCCAAGGAAAGCCCGATTTTGAGAAGCAGAAACTGCTTACAGATTTCTTTACAGATAGCATAGAATGTTGTCTAAATATCTCATGCCTTCTAGATGAGATGGGATTTTTCTTAAGGTTAGGGACTGTCTTTTATATTTTTATATTGTCTAACAGCTACCAGTGCAGCAATGCAGGAACAAGAATGCAGTGACTCACAGCAGGCTCCAAGTGTGTCAACCTTACCTGCATGCATCTGTGAAGACAGACAGCAGGGGACCTAGCAGGCCACCAATTTGCTAAGAAAAGGAAAACACAGAAAACCATACATGAGATCCACAGCCTAAGGCTAGACTTCCTGTTTAGCCACAGCTGCTTGTCATAATGGCAGAGTCTTCCCCAATCCCCCCCCAAAATCTTCAAAATGCACCAAGGTCTGGTTGTGTGGGAGCCGCTCCACTTTGGTGAGATTAGACACTGGTGTGTGAACACCAAGTTCTGCTGGCTTACATTCTGCTGGAATGGAAGGTCCTGAACAAAGATTGTACAGGATGTTTCACAAAAGCTCTGACCTGATGTTCAACTGGGCCACTCAGCTGGCTTCTTTGAACCTTGGGATCCTAGATGAGAAGACATGATGGATGCTCTCTCTCTAACAGTGCCTCGGACAGTCAAAAGATCATGAAACTACTGAAGGTGAGCGTGTGTGTGTCTTCTTATCCTCTGTGCTCAGCTTCTTACCAATGTCTCTGTG